TCTTGGTGTGATGAGTCATTTTTCATTGAAACCTGGACGTACTAGGTATTATAAGACAGGGTCTTATTTATAGGTTCTGTTTTAGCTGGATTTTCTGACACTGCTTGAGGGGTAAGGGGTCCTGCCTCATGCTCACCAGGTGGGTGTGGACATCCAGGTTCCCCACTTGGGCCCATTAACCTCCAAGGGATGAGGTTCTCTGTACTGCTGGGGGTTGGAGGAGTAGTTGAGTTCCAGTTCCCCATCAGGGCTCCAGTGATACCTTGGTGGCAGGGACCGATGAGTGTCTCATTAGTGCTCCCATGTGACCTCACTGACACCAAGGGTAGAGAGAGGGCCTTTTGGCCACTGAGTGGTGGTGCAAGTCTGCCCTGACCCCACCCTAGTGGGAAGAGAGGGTGGACCTCCTCTTTACTGCTGGTTGGAGAGTGGTAGTCCAGGTTCTGCCCAAATTCGACTGACACTGGGGAGTGGAGGACTGCCTTCCTTGGCATCCAGCAAGGATGAAAGTCCTGACTCCCTACTCAGCCTTCTCTGGTATCACACTACCTGCCCCACTGCCAGAAGCGGGTTGGGTGCCTCATTACAGCCTGGAGAGGGTAGAGGTCAAAACTCTCCACTTGGTCTTTGCTGATGTGGGTAGGTGATTTATTTAAACAAATGTTCTCTGGTTTTTACTTTATGCCTCGACTCTGTGATGCAGATGAGAAGCAGAGCATTCAGCTGGATTCTTTAAAATTAGGCCAGACGGTGTCATTGTCTGAGTACAGTGAGGAGAATGGCCAGAAGGGAGAAACAGGACTTGAAACCCCGATTAAATATTCTATTAGTCCCTATTTGGGATGGAACTAAATAACATGTGCTGGCAAGTCAGCAGAGGATGGTGGCTGTGAACATGAACTTTGGAATCAGACAGCGCTGGATGCACGTTCCAGCTCTACCATTAATTGGTTGTGTGACCCTGAAGTTATTTCACCTCTCTGAACCTCAAGTATAAAAATGAGAATTAAGTAATTGTCTGCTATTATTTTCATTACTACTTAGAGCCTACTTAGTCACTTCTCATTTGTTCTTCCCAATATCTCTGTAGGGGATACTGTGGCAGATTGCAAAAGATGGCCACAAATTATTCTCCTCCATCTAGCCATGCCCTATGTTGTTGCCCTTCCACATTGACTCCAGCCTTGGTCATGTGACTTGCTCTGGACGATGGGGTATTGGTGAACGTGACACATACAGAGGCTTAAAAAGTGCTCATATGTAGAGCTTGCTCTCTCTTGCTGCACTTGGATCCGAGACACCATGTGAAGATGCCTAGGAAGAAGCTAGCCTGCTGGATGATGAGAGTCCTGTGACCCAGTAGTACCTCTTCACCTCAGCCAGCAGCCTCCAGCCACCAGACATGTGAGTGAGGACATCTTAGCCCACCCATCCATAAGCTGACCTTCCAGCTGACCACAGATGCAGAGCAAACCCACAAACAAGTCAGCCCCCAAAGAGGTGAGCTAAATAATGTATGTTGTTTTAAGCCACGAACACTTTGGAGTGGTTTGTTACACCAGTAGATAAATGATATACAGCCCTTGTCCTCCCATTTTACAGACAAGGAAATTGAAGCTCAGAGAAGCTTGCTGGAAGCCATGGAGCCAAGGCTCAGTCTCCTTCCCCTACACTAGGTAGTGAGGCCCCCTCTGCCATCCCCAGCCCCCTGAAGCAGGGCCAGTTATTGATAAGACAGCTGGCAGAGTGAGGGCTGTGCTCACTGCCTCAGCTCAGTGACTCACTGGGAGACCTGGGCCATGCCTTTAACCTCTTTAGCCTGGTGGACCTGTAATCTGCTGCTCAGAATATCTGTAGAACTATGTCCAGCCTGGAGCATGGGATGGAGACCCACACAGTAAGCTGGAGGACACAGGCTCTTTGAGAACTCACCATTCACTGGAAGATCCTCAAATGTTCATCAGTCCCATTTTCCCTCTGTGACCTGGCCACCTACTCTTTGTATCTGATGGCCAACATGGAGGACCATGGATGTATGAAGTTTCTAAAATTTCCTTGGACAAGATGGAGTAAGAATGGCAAAAAATAATCCACAGTATCCTTGACAGAGCACACACACCCTGTGTTGCAGACTCTGGGTTTGGCACTGTACTCGCTTTACCTGATTTTATTCCCCCACAAAACCTGGATTGACTCTCACAGCCAGCCATCAGCTTGTCCTGCTCTGTCACCACACCTTATCCATTCACATTTCCAAAAACACAATCTCCTTCTCCCCATAGTCGCAAGTTCCCCAAATGTGCTCAGTACATATGATCCCAATGAATGGCAGTCTTATTTTTGCCATTACCAAAAAGAAGAGGAAAATCTGCCATTTCGTGAGGGGGTTGGGGTGAGAGTGGCTTTGAACTTATAGCACTGAGTGCAGCTGTATTTTGCACATCCTAGGGATGGGCAGTGGAAACATAAGTCCTAAAGGATGTGGCTACATGTCATAGGTGATTCGGGATTATCCATGCTTCCCTTGAGTAAACCTGTACAAGACTCTAAAATAGGAGCCAGGAGGGAGAAAATGTTTCAGGCTTTTGGGGAGATGTGAACCACCCCAGTCCCCATCACCAAGTGTGGCCAGAGAGCCAAGAAGTGGATGAGGCTTCCTGCTACCCAAGAGCTCCTTCCTGAATTTTCCCAATCCCCACAATTGTTCCCTGTAGAATCCCCAGCACCCAGTAGAATGCATGGCACATAATAGGAATTGAATAAAATGTATTGGTTGAACAAGACAATTTCACCATTTGAGATGTGACTCTGGTTTAGAATGTCTTTTGATCCTTAAGAGTTTTTACAGCAGAGATTCTTAACTTAGGGTCCAGGAAGCCCCTGAAATTGTATGCAAAATAAAGGTATAAATATGCTTTTCTGGGGAAGGAAGGGCCCATAGCGAATATTTAACATATTCTCTAGAGTGTACGAGATTCCCATAAATTGAAAAACACAGAGTAAATCAAGAAGCAAGCATGCTTAAAAAAATAATCCTAAACCACCACCATTCCATTAGAATGACAGCATTGTACAACCAGAGGGACATTTGGGATAGTCCTTGATGGATGTCTTGATGGGACAAGTAGGAGATTATAGGACATCCCCTGTCCTCCACCTTTGGTCCCTTTTATAGACTAAAAAATAGCCACGAGACTGAAGTGCTTATTCTTGCTATGCAGTCTGGTACAGCTCCCTTGTTTATTCAGCCAACATTAACTTGGGCCCCACTGCGTGCCACGCTCTGTGCTAGATGCTGGGACACATGTTTCCTGTCCTCAGGGTTCCCGGTGGAGAGGACATATAACAAAGTACCCATTGAATGAGTCTGTCTTATTCATCTCTGTATTCCCCAAGCCTCATCCAGTGCCCAATGCACAGCAGGAGCTCAATAATTAGCAACTGCTCTGGTCAGCAGTATAGTATGGTGGTCAAGTCTCTGGCAATTGGAATACAGAAAACTTGAGTTTGAATCACACATCCTGTCTAGTTATGTGCTATGTGACTCTAGATAGGTCAAATCATCTCTCTGAGACTCAGTTTCCTCGTGTATAGGATGGGACTTACATCATAGGGTCCTGTGTGGGTTTTAAGGAGCTAATTCATGAAAAGAGCCTGGCAGACACTGTGTGCTCAACAGCTTATATCTATTGGGGTTAATATCGTCACCCTAATGTCAGTGAGGCCCGGTAAACACTCTGGTCTCCATGTACCTTCTGGAATATGAGGGATTGATCATACAACTGTTTCTACCAAACTAGGATCCTAGGAATTAGAAATAGTGGCTGTTTTAGGTGGGTGTAGAGCACCACCTAGTGAGGAGAAAGGGAAATTAGTCAAAATGTTGCAGTGACAAACTGCGCAGTACAAGGTGACTCCAAATCTAAGTCAATTTTTCCAATGGGCTAATAATAAATATTTCCCAGTGAGAAATGAAGATTTGTTGGGGTTTTCCTACTTATATAAACTTTGTGGAAATAAAATATGCACTTATAATATTTATTTGTTTAGACACAGCCACGTATTTTGAAATGTTGTACTGAGTATTAGATAAGTATTACTCTTTTCCACTTTTACATTTCAAAAACTGTTTTCTACTCAAACTATTCACAGGCATCTCCAGCATCAGTATTTTCCTCATCTCTGAGGCAGTTTTTGATTCTTCTAAGCCAGTTTTCCAGGACCCAGTATCTTCTTTTCCATCAAGCAGAATGGGAGACAGGCCTTTCTGAATATTGAAGTTTTTGACAAACCACAGCGATACGCTCAAGTGGCGTTAGGATATTTTTAAAATGCATCCTGTAGGTGGATATTTGTGACCTTCACGATATTGATGGGACATTCCACCCACAAGAGCAAATGTAAGGTCCTCTTTTAGGAGTAATTGCTCAATCTGAGTTTAATTATCTGCCACTTGTTTTACAGATTCAGAGGGTTGCCTTTTTAGGCCTCCAAAACTTGCATTTATTGAGATCTTTTAAGGCCATTGTAGATTTCCCAAACTGTCCTTTGCTGTTCAAAATCAAGTATTTGAGAGAACCACCAGTGGAAACTTCTTAAAGACTTCCTCTTTTCTATAGGTTATTGGGGATGAGGCAGAAGTTCAGCTGGGTATAAGGAACAAAGCAGCAAATAGAGAGTGTGTTCGATTTCGCTCTTAGAGCTCAATCCATCCCAGTTCCAGGACCCCCGAGGCTCCGCCCAAGCCTCCGTCCAAGCCTCCACCCCAGCAGTCAGGCAACAGCACCTCCTGGCCCAAGGGGCAAACACAACCCAGTTCCAAAAGAGGGTGGCGTCTTTTCTCAGTGTTGCACGAAATGGGACCTGTGGGGAGACCTGCTCCAGGACAGTCTGGGAAATGCTCAGACTGAGAGCTCGAAGGGAGGCGCGAGGGGGCGCTCATTCCCCTCTCCCAGGCATTTTTCCTGGCAGCTTTAAACAGGAAGCAAAAATCAGCTCTGCAAATTCAGTTTCAGTTTCCAAACATTACGTGAGCAGCGAGGACCTATCAGGAGAGCTGGCTTCTGAGCCTCGACAGGGCTGGGCAGAAGTGGAGATTTATTCCAAGGGGGAGCCTAGTCCCCACAGAAATGGAGCCCTGCTGGGACCTGTATGAGACCCCTGCAGACAGTCTGGACACCTTTGTGTGTCAGAGCCTGCAGCCCCAGAGGGACTGGAAGGAGGAAGTGCAGGACGCCTGGGAGAGAACCCAGCGGTTCTTGAAGGATCAATGCTTCCGTGATGAGCTGATTGCTGACCAAGAAATTAGGGTGCTGAAGGTGGTGAAGGTGAGCACATGGGGACCCTGGGTGTTTGAATCCCAGCTCTGCTGCTTTGGGACTGTGTGACCTTAGGAGAGGGATCTTCCCCCCAGGCTCAGTCTCCTCCTCTTTAACCCAGATTTGTTGTTATCAGGAGTCAATGTGATGAAGTGTAGGAAAGTGTCTTTAAACAGTAAGTTATCCTACAAATCTAAAGGATGATGATGATCATCATAATTGACCAGAGAAAAATTCTGAGGTGTTCTAAATTAAATTACAGAAGCTGAAGAGTGAGACAAAGAGACAGGAATAATTAATCAGTTAATAGCTGTGGGCCAATAACAAAAGACTGCTCACAATTGCTAAATGTATATTGAAACTTTGAATCAACCTCCAAGTGTCTATTAGCTGACCACTAGACATTGCACCTTGCATATGCAAGAACTTGCAGGACTATTGCCTGTAACCATTCAAAAGTAACAATATTTCTTCTTTAGACTGTGCTCATATCATATAAATGCCCCCTGCTTCACCTTTTCCCTCTCCCATTATCTGTATCCAATTTAAATTCTTTCAAAACAACTTACCTCTTTCTTCCCCAAGAGATAATGTATAAAAATGCTTGTTAACTCCAGGACTGGGAACATGCTTCTTTTCTACCTGGTGTTGCTGCTGCTGGTCTAGCCTTCATGCCCTGGGACCTGGTCCTTTTCTGGCTAGCATATGGCTCAATAAACTCTTTCTTTTAAAAAGGCTTTCAGCCATGGGAGTTAAATTTTTTTGTTTAATATAATCATATTTTATTTTTATATTATTGTTATTGTTACTACTAGGGATCCAGCTCTCTGAGTGCCAGGGAGGCAGATGGAATATGGATAACAGGTCTCTATAAAATTTATGCTTTTATTTTCTATTTAAGAAAACCTACTTTACCCCCCAAGTCATAATCTCCTATATTTTTCTTCTAAAATAGCATTATATTATATTATATAGTTATATTAGAAACTACCTAGCAATTATGTAATGCCAGAGTGTACTTCTAGGGTTAAGTGAATTTTTAGGGGCTAACCATGAAATTCAACACCAATTTATAGCAAAGTTCCTCCTGAAAAAGTACTAACTTGTAATTCAACTTCTAACATATCACCCTAAATCAAAAGTGTCTTGACCATAAGTCCAAATTGTTCTCATTTTACTAGAATGAAAGACATTTGACATTAACTTAAGTAAATCAGTCTCTACCTGGGGGTGGTAATGGTTGCCAAGGGTAAGGCTGAAGAGGAAGAACATGCAGCTTTAAAGAATCTTTAAATAAAAAGTTGAAACCAAAGATTCAGGGGTGTTTTCCGCAAACCATGAGCTTCCAAACAGAAATTCAAGCTCTGTAGTTGCTTTAAAAGGTCCAACTTTGCATTTGTGGACTCTAGAGCTCCATCAGCATCTTTGCTTTCAGGACCCAAAACCGAAACAAGGAAATTCCCATCAGAATCAGAAATAAGATGTATATTCTCTGAAGGATGGATTTGAAAGTATTCAAGTATTTTAACATATGTTCTAAATAAAGCTCTTCTACGTAATGCAGGATGGAATGAATCCCCCCCATGTCCCCCAGTGGGGACTGAAGCCCTACACCAAGGGAGGGAGGGTCCTTGGCTCCATGCAGGAAAGAATTCAAGTGCACGCCAGTTAGAGACAAAGAAAAGTTTATAAGAGAAGGAATAACACTCCACAGACAGAGCATGCTCTCTTCTCAGAGTCAGAGAATGAGACCCCAAGTGTTTGAGGAATTCGATTTACATCTGATTCTTAGTTTCTATAAAAATTCAAGCTTAAAGTCTTTGTTTTTCTGTTTTCCTTTCAAGGTATGGACATGCAGAGTTAAAGGTATGGGCATAGATCTT